TTTTATTCTTATTATTAATATTATTTATAAGAATTAACCCATCGTGTTTATATGTGCATTATTCATTTGTAGCAGTGCAGCTCTAGGGAGACTGCACTACCCATAATAATCAACACTCCTGCCTCTTATTACAAACTGAAGACAATCTGTTCCTGTGCTTAACATGAGAGTTTTTGCCTGGTATTATCCAAAGCAAGAAAGGTCTCTAATCCTGATCCTTGAGAGACCTAGTCTTTTAATCTGCCTGAATCACCAATTTCTACAGATTGGGGAACTCTTGTAAAATATTACTCTTGTCAATATTAATTTAACAAGGCATTTGTTAAATAATCTTTGTGTGTTTCTAATATTAAGGTGATTTTGAATGTGAGATGTGGCTGTGCTTGTATTATTCAAAATAATCATGTAAAACTGCTGCAGTACACGTCAGTAAAAAGGATAATGCTTTCATAAGAAAATGCACAATGGTCTATATGTGGAAAGAAAATTTCCACCTGCAGAGATAGCTGTTCAATAAACAGCGCGTGTTGAGAACAGTGCTGGCTCTGGAGACACAGCCCATTCTGTCCATTCCTCTTGGCCTACTGGCTTATTTCAAGCAAACAGAAGATTAATCACCGCTTGACACTGAAATGTTTTGCTATGCAAAAACCCTGTGGGACTTCGGTTCACTTTGAATGTGGCTCCGTGCTGCGGCCGCTCAGCGATGATAAATAGCGAAGTGATTAAGTGTTAAACAACAGCTGGTATCCAGGTATCCAGAATGGGCACAGGATCAGGCTTAATGAGCGGAAGAAAATAAGGACACTGGCTCTCGTTTGGGAACAAATAAACCCCCTTTTTCTCCACCGATAATCAAATCACAGCTCAGAACCTTCCCTATCAAAACACATTTTGTATCTTAATTTTGGTGGGTGGTAAAGGGACTAATAAGAGCACTGGCACTCCAACTGAATTCCAGGAAAAATACTATGATAAAACTACATTGTGATGAAAAATATTGTGATGAAGAAGGACAATTACCCGCACTGTGCCCAGTTCGTGTTTTGCTCATTAATTCACTGTCCAGGTTTGCTTATTCTCAACCGGCTCAAGGCAGCAGTGGCCTCTTAGTCCATACCAATAGGAAAAGTCCCAAACCTGACGCATAAAAGGTGCTGGAACAGTGATGAAGAGTGATGAAGGGCGTCCTGGGAAAGGGTGGTGAAAGATCAGACACAGAGTACAGGAACTGCCCTCTTGTACATGATGGTTCCCCTCGTACATTCCGCCCGTCATCTAGGTGCAGTACAGTATCCTGCTCCGTTAAAGATCCCCTTGGTGGAAAAGGCTGATGTTCAGGGTCCAGAGAAGGTCGGGGTGTCTGTCTCCCCATTGTCTGTAATCTGCTGGGCCTGTGATGGGCCACGTTTGGAATTAGCAGGAGGGACCGCAGTGGGCGAATGGCTGGCTTGTTGAACGGGTTTGGGTGGTGATGAGTGTGAAGACAGACCGACACCGCAAGGTTTCAGAGACGCAGCTTAACTCGCCGAGCTGTGTCTCGGACTGAGCTGCCGGGGAGCCTGATGTCTTCAGGTTTTTACTCCACCCGTTTTCAGTCACATCATTACTTGCTCTAATTATTTAATTACTGTACCTGTGCAGCTGTAATACAGTACTTGTAACCAGGCTGCAAGGTGCTTTACTGTATAGGTATAGTAACTGTGCCTTTACCCGATAGTGTACTATCTTTTTAATAGCTCCTTTACAATCTCCTAATAACTGGATGATTCGTGTCTCGTAATGACGAGATAATTCACGATCATTTTCATGTATTTACGAGATATCTTTTCTCGTAATTACGAGATACACGTGAAATACTTTTTTCCTCTTGATGGCAGCAATGCGTTTCCGTTCATAAACACATCATTCCAGTCTACTGTTCTGCACATACAGTAGGTCTGCGGCATTAAAAGGAAAAATGCTCGATCCCCTTTGATCTCGGCATTTTCACTGGGTCCACAAGCACACTCTCACTCCTTGTGAGCCTGAAAGCTCGTTTGAACAAGTGTACGCGAGAGCTCGACCACGCAAATCCCGCAGGGACTGAATTACTCCCTGCGGAGTACTGTACAGTACGTGCCAGAAACGCGAGGTTCAGCCGGGGCAGTTTATTGCTCAGAGATGGTGTTACTGTGCTATTTATGACTCGCGGACATTTATTAATCGTTTTTATATTGATAAACTGGGCTTTGAAGACAGTTTAGGCAATTCGGAAATAAAAGATTTTCCGAAGAATAAGGACAATTTCCTCGCCGAACTAAAACTGAATTCTCCTCTCCCCGTTTCTTAAAATGCGTATTTGCAGCTCAAGTCGCTCGTTTTGAATAACCGAGTTGTAACGGTCAGGTAAAAGAAGTCTCGCTGGACCGGTCAGGATGTGCGCTTTGCTTTGAGGTGCAGCATCACATTCGGTTATAACTCATAGAACCGCTTCCACGACGTCGCCTTCGGTGGATCCGATACACGATACAGAGAACACCACTGTGGAAGCGGTCACATCATATCATAACTTTAAAAAACATCAATTTCAATATGTTACCGACGCTCCCCATACGCATTTTTCTGCGATTTCATAAATGAACACCTGGATTTGAGATCATGGAACTTTGAAGAGTAATTTCTTTAGTTTTTTTTTAAAACATTGTGCGGAACATAAGCAGACGAAAGTAACGAGAGATCGTCCGTTTCTAGCCTGAAAGAAAATTCAGACAACGAAAAAACACCTTCGAGCTCTTGTTTTTTTCTATCCTTGACACAGTCTGAGGGCTTTTGGAAAGAAACAGATTAACACATGAGAATCGGGGCAGTGCAAACACATGCTACTCGATCACCAAAACCCTGCGCAGCCGGAACAAGCATCGTGAACACGACAAACGTTAACGTTTTCGAAGCAGACGGCGCTATTTTAAAGTGTCATAGTTTTTATGACTTAAAGATTGCTCGGCTGCTCTCCCGAGCAGACCGGGTTGATCTGAGTGAGAATCCCCCAGTGGGTTCCTCCTGTCAGACCTGCGCTCCAGACCCGGAGACCCGGGCCGAGTGACATCGGGTCCGGGGGCTCACTCTCTCACACCTACAGCCTTCTGCTCCAGCCAGCCTGCCCCCTAAATCCGCCTAATGTTAAAAAGTCACTGGAAACTGGGGCTCGAACTGTTTTCAGCTCTTGGACTTGTTTGGGGGGAGGTTCCTTTTAACTCTTGCATTTCAAAATGTTAGGTAACATTACAAATTCGAGTAAAAAAACAAACTTGCAAATGTTCCAGTCAAGCAGCTTCATTAACCTCACAATTAAGCTTTAATTAAGTCATTATTAAGCTCGGCTGGAAGGAAACGTGCAGGTGGGTGGGAATGCCTGGAATTCAGTTAAGTGTGGGAACAGAGGGCGACTGTATCTCCTAGGAGAAGGTGGAGGGACACGGCTAAAATCCCAGGTCAAGCGGTGCTTAAATTGGCCAATGCGCTAGGAATACCTTTCAGAGCCCTGTGTACGATTCGGGTCACCGAGGTAGAAAAGAGATGGCGCTGCCCTGGAGCGAGTCCAGAGGAGAGCGAGCAGAAACATTCCTGGGATCAGGGGTTGTCCTCACTCCCCGGGGGAAGGCTGGAGCTGAACCGCCTGACGCTGGAACAGAGACGAGCGCACAGGGACCTGGCTGAAGTCATGAACACCCGGAGAGCCGGTGACGAAGTCGGGCGCTGGGCTTCTTCAGAGTTAGCAGGCGCAGGTGGAAACTACGCAGAGGCGCGTTTCGCGCAGAATAACAGTCCGCGCGTGTTTACTTCTGCGGAAGCTCGGACGCATTCCTGAGCCGGCACCCTGGCTTCTCTCCGGACAGAATAATCTCTCATGAGCTCCCGTCTCCCTTTCTGTACGTGTTCTTACGTTTTTAATGTCTTAGGACATGTACTTTTGCAATCGGACCTCGGTTCGTCAGGATCGGGTGTTTCAGTAGAGGTGTCGGAATTCCGAGCGGTTCTGGCGGGGTCTTATGATGGAGAGTGGAGTTCTGACTGTTCAACCTGTGTTCCTTCTGGCAAGAGTTTATCTGAGCATCTGATGATGGGACAGTAACCAGGAGAGAGTGTGACAGCGCTGTTTTCTCGGTTCTCGGCTTTGAACACGTCTTATTTGGATGTATTGACTTGAAACCTCTTTAGTTATAACTTGAACTAAATTGATTAAGCATTTAACGTAGACTGACGTACCATTTAAACAAATGTCTAGGGTGTACTATAACCCAGAAGCGACGTCTTTTACCTATTTGAATACAAGACAACATTTTTAAAAAGCTTATTCTTGTAAATGACACATGTAAGAGTGTAGGAGGCCTAAAATAACTTCTGAGAGGAACAAGCATTGAGTACAAAGTCTTCGTTTTAAACAAACATTGACTACTGACACTAGTTCGTTTTATTAGTTCTGCTGAGCAGAATTATATCGACCCATAAAATCTCACACATTCTTCTGAAGTTGATTATTTGCTACGACACATTTGTGTACAGTACCCGAGTTTTCTTTTCTTGTGAAGTAAGAGCTAATTTCTCCTTAAAGGGGAAGCCTAGCGCGGCACATATCTGGATAACATCATTTGTGTTGCGTACATATACCTTTTTCCTTCTCGCTGAAAAAAAATAAATGTTTTAATCCACGTGTTTAAACGAATGATCGCTTACAGGTATGTCTGATTTGTTACGTAAAACTGCGTGCGGAGACCTCCTTGTTTCTGAACTCAATGGCTAATTGTTACAGCATTGAAATTCTTCACCAAACGGCAACAGATTTCGTTGACACGTTGAAATGAAAGGGAAAGCATGAATATTTCATTTTAACACGCGTGGAGCTGTAGTTGCAAACTCTCTCATGACCTCGTTTGATCGTGTGCCCGCTGGTATACAATTATCCGCACTGGTGCCCAGTTCGTGTTTTGCTCATTAATTCACTGTCCAGGTTTGCTTACCGTGAGGAGAATCCGGCTCTCACATCGCGCACCACGTAGGAAGATGCCCGGAGTCTGCGACAGGACAGGCGTCCGAGGTAGGGGTGGGGAAAAAAAAGCTCCGCACTCTGAAGAAATGTATCAGCCGGCGCCGGGGGCCGCAGTCCGTGTCGTTCAAGCGGAAAGCCCGGGGGGCGCTGCTTCAGCGAGGCGCTCGGGACCCGCCGGTGCACTGCCTCGCGTGCTCTCGCTCGCGCACATCTGCACGGGGGAAGCACCCCGCCACCTGGAGCGCGCGCAGCATCCCCGAGCGGCCGCGGGAGGCTCTTAAAGCTGCAGCGCGCACCTCGAGCTCTTTCCCCCGAGCGGCCCGACGCGAGCCGGGCTTATAAAAGCTTGCCAGCTCTCTCTCCTTTTCATTTTGAAGACCGCCTTCGCTCTGAATTGGTTCACCCTTGTGTTCTGCATCATGTTGTCTAACCTGATCAGCTGAGGTTAGCCCATTTGTGGTTAACACTAAATGTTGGCTCCATTTCAACAGTTCACTTACCAGATAGGAGAGTTTTAATGTGATTATGTATATTCTTTATGCTACAATGCATATTTATTTATTATTTAAAATGATCAAAAGCTTTCTTTAGGAAGTTGGTGTGTTTGCTGTTCCATGTCCTGTAAGTGAGTGCACATCTACTGCTTTTATTGTAGCATCAGGAGTCCTTGAAAGGTGAAAAATAACTTTTACTTTTTGCAAGAACCATTTCTGAAACTAAAAGCTGAAGACATTTTCTGTCTACAGTGGCTCTGTCACAGTGTAGGATTTCTGTCTAGAGTAAATAATTGTTCAAGGTTTAATGAAAGTTTGTGGGTGTCTTTTCGAGATCAAGTTCAGGTTTATTTGTCATGCCAGCCATATACTGTACAAGTATACAGTGGAACAAAATATCGTTCCTCCTGGTCCGCGGTGCAAATGCAAACAGGACACTGATGTAGACAGGGTACACAATAGTGCAAATGACAAGGTAAATACATAGTACAATATACACAACGCACTGGGAGGATTTAAACCCTGTTTCTGGAATCGGGGTGGGTACAAGTAGATTCCAGGGTGTTGAGGAGCCTGACAGCCTGGGGGAAGAAGCTGTAAGGGAGTCTGGTGGAGCTGGCCTGTACACTGGGATATCTTTTCCCAGAGGGTAGGAGGGGTCATCTACTGTACTGGAGGCTCTGTGGGAGCAGCGTTTGTGACAGATGACAGGAATGGAAGGGAGGGAGGCTGCAATGATCTTTTCAGCTGTTTCCACAATTCAAGACGTTTGACTTTGACATCTCAAGATTTTGTTCTTATAAAAATGTACAAATATTTAGATGCACAAACAGAATGGAAATAACATTTAAAATAAAGTGGATGTGAGAAATGGGTCATCAAATTTCTGTAGATTTCAGTTTACTGCCTTACTTTGGATACATCATTTGTTTTCAGAGAGAACATACTTGATGAAACACTTCAAGAACTAGAGAGCAGTCTCCACAACCAGTGGGGACTTCCGCTGTATAGTTGGAATGGTTTAAAGAAATAACATACTGGCTGTAGTTTGTCCAGGTTTTTTGCAGGACCTAGAACAAAGCAAAGAATTCCAAAGTCAGATGAGTTTTCTGATAACTTCACCGTTGCCTAACGATCCTGTGCCAAAGGACAATCACCAGAAACGGATTCTGGGATCTCCATGGAAGCATCCTTGTACCTGGTCTTAGAGGTCTTAGACAATGTTCCTGCACGTTCATTCTCCAATTGTTTGTTAGAGTCCTGCTAGATAGGCTATTCTAAAGGGCTCAAGAGACAGGTGCCCAGAATAGCCCATTTGTACAGATTGGGTGGGGGGGAAAAAGGAGCTGGATGGTGATTTATGGCCCCTGAAGTCCTTCTCATTCCTGTGCTGCTGTTGTCCGACAGGTGGGGACACACACAGCAGGCACTGTCCACAGCTGCCTCCAGCCTGGAGCCCCAGCTCGTTCCCCGTCAAGAAGAAACGCTCCCAGGGGTCCTGCAGTCAGTGACCAAGCAGAGGCAGTGGGAATTTCCAGCTAACTGTTAGCTTGCAACAGCAGGTCTTAAACGTTGGTACAAGATGCCCACAGAATTGTGCTTTTGTGTGAAGATGTTATGCCACCATTTTACAAGAGCAGAACGGTGTAAAATCTCTAGGACTTCTGCACAGCAGTGTATACAGTAAGTGTGTGTTTAAACATTAAGGGCACTGTACACTCAGTATCACTTCTGCAGCACTAGGTGAGAGTTTGAATGTGGACAAATGCAAGGAGTACTTTAAGTGAAGTACTTCCACGTGACTGATGTTTTCCCTCTGCTTCAGGTTAGGGTCAGCAGGAAGGGGGGTTGGAGTTCCCTGAAAAAGTTAATGGTGTTTGAGTTGGCGACGGCTCTCTGTGATTAATGGCAGATATATGTCGCAGCGCAAGCCGAACTGCATACAATGCTGTGGTGTGGTGAACAAGGCAGCGTTTTGCATTTGTCAAGAGCTCTGCTGGCTGTCAGCTGTGCAAATCCAGAGCGATATGGTTTTCTGTCACTCATCCTCTCATGACTGAGTGCTAGTTAAATGTCAAGTCCCTGAACATTATCAGTTCAGGGTTTTTATTAAAAAGACAATGGATAATGCATCCTTATCTGTGGTGCCTGATTTAAAAAAAAAACAAAAAACTGTAGTGCCATGTGTTACCCACTGAGCCATTTGACTGTGTGCTTTATCATCTTTGAAGCAATGTGTACAGAGTTAATTGTTTGATATTTATTTACTTCAGCTTAACGGTCACCTTGTTATCTTACAAGGAATCTGTGGTTACAGGATCAGCATGAAGACATATGGTGTCCCGCTGGGATGAGCCCCGACCACAGGCCACAGTGGAATGGAGTGGAATTTAGTCAGGACACCAGGAATGACACCTACTCTTTTGAACAGTGCCCTGGGATCTTTAATAAAGTCAGGACCAACGTTTAATGTCTCTTTGGGCTGCAGTCGTACATCACCCCTTACAGCAGTGTCCCTTCTATAAATGCAAACAATTCTGTTATTAAACTATTTACTCAGCCTTGTCTGCATTGCTGAGGTCCCAGGACCCGACCAGCGTAGTGCTGTGCCATCAGGTTACCATCCATAGCAAGTGTGGCTCTGTAGGGCCCAGACCATCGCATGTGAACCTCGCTGGCGGTGGGGCATGGTGTCTGAATTCATGGTCTCCCAGGTTGTGTCCTAACATTGCCAGGCTCTGTCTGGCTCTAACAGCTGGGCAGTCTAGAAAATGCTGTCAGGTTCTAATGGAAAGGACTTCCTCCCTGAGAGTGCTCAACAAGGGTGGAACAGGAAGTAGTGATTTAAAGATAACATAGTAATGTTATAACTTATCATACCCAGTTAGATGAAAGAAACCCGAAGGCAATTATGAAAAGATTAGCCTGAGGTCCAACTGACATACCTGTGGGAGGGAAAGCAAATATCACAAATATCTGTCTTTATACACATGTATATCCCCAAATCTGGTCCTGCAGGCTGGTGTCTAGAGGTTGTCAGTTCAGCTGAATATCATTTATTACCTTTATTAGCTGAATTGGACATGTTTAACAGCTTCTATCTTTTCAGGTACCTGGAAAACCAGAAAACTAGAAAACCCCTAGACACACTGGGCCTCCAGAGAATTTGCAACCAAAGTAATGACGAGAGGTGAATACCTGTTGTCTCTGATAACTTCAGATCACTGCCATTGGAGGTTTATAGGTTTTCTTTCAATGATCTTGCAGCTTTTTAATGCCTTCTGGGGAGCTCTCAACCATCAATCAACAACCTGTTTCTGTTTGGGCAGTTCCTCGTAACTGGGTGGAAAAAGAACTGTGCAAATCACTGCTAAATACACAGAAGTGGGATTATTGCATTACCTTTCTGCTAATTCAGTTAGTTCACCCTGGGGTCTTAATAAATGAATTACATCAATTTAAAACGTGCGTTTCAAAGCTCATGTATTTCCAATAAACCTATCTAGGGACACTTTCATTTTTTTTTCCATCTTCCTTCAAAGCCCATTCAACAGGAATCTCATCCCAACTCCTCTGAAAGACGCTGTTAAGCATGAGAAATCAATTTGAATTTTAGCTGTAATAAAGGTTGAAGCAAATGAATAGAAGGAAATCGGAGATGAAACTAGTTCTCAACCTGGAAACTGCAGTATCTCCTTCTGAATTGCGCAGGGCTTTGTATCACTGCGCCATCCCATTTCCCGTTAAATTGTTAAATGTTACACCTGTGTCCCGAGTGTTCAGTAAGAAGCCAGCTCTTACTGGGAATTCTATCTTCTATAAGCAGCCCAGTGGCACCTTATCATGTGGAATTAAATCAAAGAGCTTGATTTCAAACACTCCATCATAAAACCCCAAGAGGAGTATTTGGTGTTAAACAAACATTTTTCTCAATTTATTTTTCTGCACTTCTATTCTCTTCATTTAATTCATCCTCAGGGGCAGAGCCTGTTGTACTATGTGTTGAATGTGCTGTATAATGGTACAGAAACCAGCATTCATTTTAGACCAGTGTAGGGTTAGGGCTATGAGAACCCTTGAATATTGACTACAGTGTTAACCTCTGCGAAGCGGTTTTGCTCAAACTACCTTAGTTTTGGAATACAAACACTGAACGGTGCCATATACTGTGTACAGTACTGGCAGGCAAAAGTCTCCGAAAAATAAAAGTGCTCATAGGAGGAAATTCTCACTCGTCCTAAAGCGGGCTTGGCCCCCAGAATCCAGCACTGATCATGAAAACATGTGTGTAGTGTGGCAAGGCTCACCTTACCCTAGCTGGGGTTTCCAATGCGCGGCCCCACAGTGTGTCTTGGAAGCTCTCCAGTCACTAGATTTGGCCCTGCCGGTGGCACTGGAGATGTGCTTCCCTCTGTGCGGAGGGCTGCCCTGGGACCAGCCTCCAGTCTCCGGGCCTGACGCTCCCCCGGGTTTCTCACCGTGCCGCAGGAACGGAACTGAGCATGGGAACGGGCTTCTGTGCGAGAGTGAGAGTCGCCTGCGCTTGTTTCACCAGCACCGGTGGGCGTGAGCAGCAAGTCGTCTGTGAGACCAGACACGCCGGGAAAAACGGCGAAACAGCTGATTTACAATATGTCTTCATACCGTATTTATTGTCTACTCCAGTATTCCTTCCTCATCACTGCCAACCTCCCTCCCTTTCAAGGTGGTTTTTGCGTTACTGCGGAAACCATTATTGACTGGTTTGTTATTGTTTCCATCTGACGAACCCCCCTCCTCCCCCCCATCCTCCCAAAATACACACAGTCCCAACGCTGTTTGCGTTGCGTCCTGCCAAAGGATCTGAGAAGGGAAGCCAGCTGGAAGTCACATGTCAGGTTGGGCAGAGTCTTTCACCAGGAGTATGAATGTTAGGGGGGATTACAGGAGCACAGGCAGGAAGCTGCAGGAATCACTGTCTCACACACAGTCACAAGAGCCCA